AGGCACACACACACAATCCAGTCCAACGACTTGGACAGACACGTCCAGAAAATTATATTTACACCACTTACATATGAAATTAGTTTGTATAACTGCAACAGCAGCTGGACAGATGGACAACTGGACAAATGGACAGCTGTGGGACTGGACAGCAACTAACTGCATACAGCATCGAGCAGACATTTGGTGGCTGGCCCCTCGTTCTCTGTCCGCCGCATTGACTTATATAAATACATTAAGTCACAAATCACAATTTCCGATGCTTGAAATGCGCAAACGGAAGGCATACATTTTAAATGTGTGCACAGGCTTCTGCWGGCGCTGTGGGGACGGCCGTCGCATAGCCTGCGGGTAGCCGGCTGGCTATCGAGCCAACGCCAATCAATGGCAACGGAGAGCTGCCACGTCTGGCCACGTATGATCAAAGTGGCTGGCCAGACGCGGACGCAACCGCGTTGTCGCATGTTTGTTGTCGCCAAGTGGCTCTAGCTGTGGCTGCAGCTGTGGCTGTGGCAGTGGCTGTGGCTGTGGCTGTGGCTGGGACGAGCCTCCCACCTGTAACCTGCAGCGGCAACGGCAGCTAGCCACTGTCAAGCAGAATAGCAACCTGTCTGTAGCTGAGCTGCCTCGCTGGCTGGTTGGCTGGCTGCCTCGCCGCCTTGCGTGAGATTGGATATCAATCTTTTTGCAATTTGGTATGCAATTTAAAATTCATGAAACACATTCCTTTGACTCAAAAGATGCAGGCAAATGTGTGAGCTGTCTGACCGCCCCCTTCCCTCTCCCCCACCACCACACACACAGTGTGCATCATCATCGTCCTGCGCTGCGCTGTGGCTCAAATTGCCGTTTGCATTATTTATTTGCCTCCATTGATGAGCCACTGCATGGCTGATGGTGCCTCCTGTTGACGTGTCCACACCGACCACTTGTCCATGGTCCGATGTGTGGTTAGTTCGCCATGCGCCAGCCTACCAGCCAACCTACCAGCCTGCCTGCCTGAGTATATTGCTAACGGTTAGTTGTTTAAAATATTACAAACAAGTGGGCATAAAAAGCTGGCGTAGTATTCAAAATGAAATCCGCTGTCGCTGTCGCTGTCGCTGCCCACTCCATGCACATCCTGCTGGTCCACTGGCCAGCCCATGCCAATGTTCCGCTATTAGTTTAATGTTTTGTTTATTGTTAGTCATGGCCACCGCTGCGCCAGACCCTCGGCTGGGCTGCGCCGCGGCTCATGTTTGGTGGATCTGAATGGCACTCCATGACCATTATGTTGAGTAGTTTCGCAAATATGTTTGTCTGCCCAGCCGGTCCACCGGTCCATCGGTCCACTGGTCCACCGCGTCTGCCTGCCGGCCATCAGCCGATGTCGATGTCGCTGCTGATGCTGATGCTGACGCTGATGCTGATGTGTACGCTCGATTGGTTAGGGCATGGTGGCAAGCGCTGGACACGGACTGTGGTAACAATTGAACAGCCCTCCAGCGGCTACACTGGACCCATACCCAACAGCCGCTGGGCTCTTATTTCGTTCAATTGCGTTTGTCAAGCCGAAAAGCTTTTCAATGCCACTGCCAGAAGCAGGCCACGCATAGTACGCGATTTTCGTTGGGGTTTATGCAAAAATTGATTCCGCAAAAAGCTTTAAAGGGAAATCACAATGAAACACTTAATTATAAATGGATATTAAACGATGAAAATACGACATCAGGCACATATATAATTCATTCCAGTTTTTGTAGAAAAACAGAAGCAGCTGTGGGTGTGTTATACAGTATTGCAGTTGCAAGCTGTTCTTCATAGAGGGTAAAAAAAAA